AGATTTTGAGCAAGGCCTGGGAAATTTTCCTCTATTATATCTTTAAATAGCTTGTCCAACCCTTGAGTGTTGTCTTCTTCCCCTCTGGTAACCCTATGACCCTCACATTAGGTTTCTTCATGTAATCCCACATCTCTAGTAGTCTTTGCTCTTTTCTCTTGTTTCTCTGCTCTATCTCTGTGACTGTTTTATTTAGTTGGAGGGTGTTATCTTCAATCTCTGAGAGTCTTTCTTGTGTTTGATCTACCTTGTTCTTGAGAGTTTCCACTGTATTTTGTAGTTCCCTGAATTGATTCTTCATTCCCAGGAGTTCGGTTAAACTTTTCTTCATTGTATCTATTTCTTTAGTGAACTTTTGTTCTAGGTCCTGGAGGCTTTTTGTGGTTTCTTTATGTTGGTTTTTGAGTTGTTTTTGCAGGTCGGTGAGTGTTCTTATGATCCACATACGAAATTCCTCTTCTGTCATTTTGCCTGATTTTGGTTGCCTGATTTTGGTTGGTGTCTGTTTCTATGGTGCTGGTGCTGGTCTTTGGGGGTGTGTTTTCCATTTGGTTCTTCATATTTCTGGAGTTCCTTTGCTGATTTCTTCCCATGTTGGCCGATCAGTTGTTGTTTCTTTTCTTTAGGTTTTTGTTTGAGTATTCACACACCTTGTTTAGTTTCTGAGCCGGTAGGTGGTGTCTATGGGTGAGATTCGACCAGTCTCTGTACAATGAGTTAGTAGGTGCCGTCAAAAGGGTGTGCAGGATGTCCTCCCTGTCAGTAGGTGGCGCTAGCTTGGAGGAACAGGCTATGCTGTTGTTTTTGTGACCTGTGATGAGCTCTTTTTCTGCTAGAGAGACACTCTAGTGCCTCAGGTGTTCGGCGGGGCCCTGGGACTTCCAAATGTGTCCTTTTCTCCCCCTCAGTGAAGACTGGTCTAGGAGAGAGTATGGGCGGAGCTGGGTTGGGTAAGCCTGCCCTCAGGCACCACCAATGCCATTAGCAGGGGTCAAAGTTTTGTTCTCTGCTTCCAGGAAGAGCTGTCAGGGAGGGGCTGGAATGGCCCGGCTCAATCAGAAAATCTGTGTGTGTGTGTGTGGTGCTGTCTGAGACCCACTGTCTAGAGCAGGCCTCATCTCTTTCCATCCTCCCCATCTTCGCAGCTACTCCTGGGCCTCTGCCAGCAGGCCAGACCACACGCCACCAGGCCTCCCTGGACTGTGATGCTGGTGGGGAGGTTCTCTGTGCAGGAACGCCACCTGGGCTGGTCGTACAGCTTCCTTTTGGGAGGAGGGTTGCCCTCTCGGACGCTGATCTGCCCCTGAAGGCACACACACCTCAGTAGGCTGTTTCCGTATATCCCTTCTGTGCCCCGGGCAATGCGAGACCTGGGTGCACGGGATCTGGTCTGCAGGTCTGACCTCTGGGTCCCAGAGTTCAAACTATATCCTCAGAGGGAGAGGAGTGCCGGTCCCAATTCACCCACCGGGAGCCCACGCTGGGTCTATGTCTCTCAGCCTCAGGGTCTGCCCCTTTCTCCTGGGAACACCGTGCCAGCAGCACCTGGGAGGGCTGGCGGGTAGGGAGCTCACAGTCTGAGTTCCCCTTAGTCAGCTGTAGGGTCCCAAAAGGGAAGTTCCCGTTCCCTGTAGGTGCCTCCGGCTGGTGGCTGTATTGTCTCTCTGGGCAGCCGCGGGTAGGGTCGCTAGAGGGGAGGAGGAGGCAATATGGCGTCTGCCGCGGCTCGCGTCTGTGCACACGGAGGTGCCCCTTGGGATTTGGGAGCCTGGTGCTGCATCTGCTACAGGCTTACCACTTGCTGGCGGCGGCCGTCTCTGGGCTGGTGTCTGCAGGTCTCTACACCTGCTGGGGAGCCCACCAGCAGTCCCAGATGCAGGGGAAGGGAATGGTGACTCATCTACCTACCCTTCCCGCTGGTCTCAGGGCGGCTCGGGCGGTCTCATCTTCCAGTTCTCGTCTGCAACCTCCTCCCGTGGAGTCTCCCAGGGTCTCAGGTACCCCTCCTTCCGGCCCTTGTCTGCTGTATGCTTGTCTTCTTGCTTCTTTTTTCTAATTTCTGCTAGAATCTGTCTTTTCTGCAGAGACACTTTGTCTGGTGGTGTTTCTCGTCCGCCATCTTGATCCTCCCCGCCCCATACACTTTTATTTTGTAATGGTTATGTTTACCCTGGAATCAACATTTTTATGCAAGTTGACAGTGTGAGGTGGACAAATGCCTGATCTCATCTTATTCATATAATTGGAAGAATAATCTGTAACCTAAAGGTTTGCTGTGGAAATTAAGGGAAGAATGCATTAGCGTGTACAGCATAGCCCCTGGTACACTGCAGTCTCATACTCAAATGCCAGATTTCTTTTCTTCTCCTCCTCCCTGTCTTTCTCTTCTCCCACCTCCTTCTCCTCCTCTTTCTTCTTTGGTTATCAGTATCAGTTGTAATATAGAAAATTATAGCCAAGTATCAACTGATGTCTTGATGAGATATGAGTAAAGTTCACTTTTTTCAAAGGGTCATCTGGGGTACTCAATTGTTTTATGTGATTCTCTTTCAATTAAGCAATCAATACAGATGGCAATACCGATTGTACCTGGGTAAGTGGCAATGATGGTCACAAATTTACACCATGTGCAAGATAAATGTTTACTTATGGTTTATTGTTCTAATCTTGGTTTCTAAGCCTCCATCCTGTTGGAGGCAAAAGCT